AGACCACCAATGCCTCCCCGGATGAACGCCCCCGACGACCAGGCCTTCTCTTCCTCCATATCCTCACCTGGTCTCTCTTCACACTTTCGAGGTGGAGGATCTCCTGGAAGTAGCTCGAACAGCTCCTCAACGATCTCCGACGTGATCTCCCACTCCTCGTACAAGACCTCGCGAGCAAACGCTTCAGCCTCCGAAACAGCATCACCATCTTGCTGCTCCACTTCTACCAATTCGCCAGACACTGCACGGGCCATACGCGGTGGACCCTTTCCTGTCAGGCGACGTCGCACAGAACCGTCGGCTCATCCCCTTCGTGGGGCGCTAAGGACTCGAAGACACCATCTCCAGGTTCAACTTCAGGAGGTCCCGGATCCACAAGGGCTGCCTTGGGCTTCACGTTCTTGGTATGCAAAAACGAGTCCTCTGCATACACCAGGTGGCTCAAGCCCAGGTACACTCCCTCGACCCATCGAGGCTCAAACTCCCTTCGAACCGTTTTTCCTCCTGAGGCGAAAGCTCTCCGCTTCACCATCACCTTAGCTCCAAACGTCGTTGCCAGCTTTGACACCTGGGACAACGCTTTGGCCCTTTGTTGTGCTGCCACCGCTTCAGCTGCACATGGCCAGAACTTCAGGTCCAACCTCGCCGATGCCAAGGCTGTCCTAGCTCTCTGCTTGATTGTCTTGATGGCCGCCTCAGCACCACCATTTCCCTGAGGTATTCCGGGCACACTTGTAGTTACCCGAATCGCTTGACCATGCAGCCATTGCACCAAGCCCTTGTTGGTGAACTGTGCTGCCTTGTCCGAGTGGAAACGAAGAACAGGAAGGTTCAGGTTCCTGAGGTAGAGGACAATTCCCTGCACCACGCTGGCCACAGTGCTTCCTTTGATGTCGGCCAGTCCATGTGCAAACAAGAGATTGGCTGCCTTCGGCGCCTTCACATCCTCCGGAATTTCCCTTGGCCTAGTCCCAACCACTATCTCCTTATCAGGGTCTTCAGCCTGCTCTGGATCAGGTACAGGACCATCATCATCAGGAAGATCCGGCTCGTAGTCATCCCAGTCGATCCCCTCCTCTTCGACCAAACCAACACCACCTCCTTCGTCTTCGGCAAACGGATCTGCTTCACCCTCAGGCATCTCCACCTCAGGGTCATCCGCAGTCTCCTCCAGCTCGTTGGTGATGTAGGACTCCGGCAGAGTGTACTTCGCGACCAGCATGTAGCGAAGATTGCGGTTTCGCTCCTGACGCCCCCTTCCATGTGGGTTTGCCCCCAAGGTGCGGAAGGGGCCAGCGATATCGATGTTCAGGACAAACAAACTCGGGTGGGATACTCGCCGGTGCTGATGTCCTGTCGCACCGTACGTGGTGCATTGCAAGCAGTCTCTTCGTGCCGGGTAGTGACCCGCTTTGACGTGGTCTCGCCACTGCTCCTGCGACATTGCTCTGAGGGTCGCAGGGTCCACCACAAAGTCACCCCGGGATACCGCCTCCAACACCACTCGCTTCAAACCTGAGGCCAAACCACCATCTGAGACTTCTCTTCCCATTGGCTCCCCAGGTTGCACCCGCTTGTCCTTCAAGACCTCCATGTTGTAGGTGATGATCTCGGTGGGCCTCGTCACTGCCAATCCAAGTGCTCCTTGGTCACAAAGCACCCGGTCCATTGCAGTCGCCACCAAGAACCTTTCCCCCAACCTCACTTGCTGCTGCCCATAGCTGTACTCACCCCAGTTCAGGTTTCGCTCTGGACCAGACCACACAAAACCAGTCTTCTCCTCAGGGTGCTTCGACGCTAGCCTCGCCAAGCAGTACAGCAACTTCACCTGGGCAGACTTCACGAAGACGGCCTCATCCTGAGCAGGCCCATGTGCCCCACCGGCCACAATGCATTTCAGCTTGCCCTTGACCGCAGCCCATAGCAAGGCCTGGTAGACATCCTGCTCAATGTTACCAGCCACCTTCAACATCATACGTCCCTCCTGCTCCATGACCTTCAGGAAGCCATCCTCGTTCTCATGGGCAGGAAGATGCAGGATCCACTCGGGCGCCTGCAAGAAGGACTTCTTGACCCGTCGAGGAAGTGGAAGGGCCTTCAGGTAGTCCCAACCCTTTGCCAGGTTCAACTCCAAACACAGCCTTGTCCTCAAAGCTTCAGGTAGCTCCCCAAACACAGGCCCCATCAACGCCTTCCAGAGAGCATTTCTCGATCCTGAAGCCACGTAGTCGTCGAGATGCGTAGTCCACGGTGCAGTGTTAGCGCCCACCTTCAGGGCCTCCAGCTTCATCTGCAAGGTTTGCACCTCATCCCGAAACTCTTGAAGCTTGGCGTTTTCCACCTGCTCGATGATCTTGTCGGCCTCCGCCATGGTGAGCTCCGGACATCCAGCCTTCACGCTGGTTCGCAGCACCCCAAGTGTTGGGTGCACAATCTTCAAGCCCTTTCGCCCCCAAGATATCTCGCAACCAGCACGAACGAGGTCTCCCATAAAGGCTGAGTCGTTGTAGACGGTGTGAGTATAGATCCCGCTGGCGTCTGGTAGAGCTGAGTCCTCTCGTTGTTGGCCAGCACCACACTCACCTGGTTTGCATCATGAAGCTCATGAGGATCTCGAGGTTGACGAAGAATGTTCGTAGCCCCAGAGTCAATGAGCACCGTTGGCACATCCAATTCTGCCTTGAACATCCGAGGATCTCCGTCACGAGGTCGCACCACCACGTCTTCAACCCTCAAGGCTCTCAACCGAAGCTCATCCAGCTGCCTCTGGATCGATGCCAATCCTGGATGTCCTCCTCCAGCTCCTTCTCCCACCAAAGACCTCAGAGCTTGCACTGCATCAGTCATTGCAGACTGGAGCTCAGGGTTGGGACTCGACGCTGAGGTTGTCGTGGACACCGGTGATGTCGGCTGTGGCTCAGGTTCCGACACCATGCTTCTGGCTGCAGGCTCCTCTTTCGCCCGGCTCGGTTGGCTGTGGCCTCCACCACCGCCCTTTCCACCAGTAGAACTCGAAGGTCTCGACGCCAAGGCCTTCGTCGGACAATCCGCCGCTATGTGTCCTTCACCTCCACATTCAAGGCAACGCCCACGCTTGGAGATCCCTTCGAAGGAGTGCTTGAAGCGACACGTTTTCCCTCGGCGACATCCTTCAGGACTTTTGGCGAACCACGGACAGATCTTCTGCTCGCCGTCCTTTCCTTTTCCAAAGGCTTCTTTCCCTTTGCCTTTTCCCTTGTCTCGCTCTCTGTCCTTGCCCTTGCCCTTGTCCCGATCCTTGTCCTTGTCGCGGTCTGTAGCCCCATCCTCAACCTGCATAGGCTTGGCCTTGGGCTCTGCGCCACGACTGCTTCCCATCACCATCACACCTGCCAGCGTCTCCATCTCCGCCTTGAGATGCTGCTGGTACTGCATGACAGTGGCCAACGTCGGCGACGTGTCGACCATCAATTGGATGTCCTGAATGCAGCGTCTGCATTCTTCTGCAGCACGCCTGCCACGATCACCGACAGCCCTCTAGCCAAGATCATCGGATCTGGGCAAGTGACAGCGATACCTTGAGCTCGCTGCATCCATCTCTCCCACTGACGCAAGGCCCGCGCTGCCTGCTCTGCATCTGCTGCCTTGGTAGTCTCCGTCAACGACTTCAGGAGGTGCAGCTTCTCGGACTCGCCCCCCGGGCAGTACTGAACATACAGCCGGTAGACGATCTTCACCGCACTGCGAGTGCATTGCCTCGCCACCAAGTCCCTCCGCACTTCCGGTGCCAACGCTGCCAGCAACATTCCAGCAGCTCGGGCATTGACACGAGCGTACCGCCCGTCGTCCAAATCCATTCCAGAGGGCCCTTGCATAGCCAACCTCTGGTAGGGCGTACTTGCCACCCACTTCGCGTAGTGCAACGAGACCTCGCTCTTGACGGCCTCCCACCAAGCACCACTTCCATCACTGAGGTCTCGCGTCGGCCCGTCAATCAGCTCCATCCAGTCTTGAATGACGACCGGGCTATCCTCAGCGCCAGGAGGATCCAATGCCGGCAAAGCTGCAATCCCAGGCTTCACCTGCTCCGGCTGACCCACCTTCTGGTTCATCATGTTCAGCTGCGCCTGCTGGAGCTGCTGGATACCTGCGACCAACATTCCAACCAGTCCCGGCTGATCTCCGATCCCTCCACCAAACGAGGAACCGCCCACATCTCCAGCCCCAGAACCAGCCGACTGGTTCGGGCCACGAGTTGCACTCCTTGGCAACTCCCCTGCGCTTTGCGGTCCACCTCCATACGCTTGAGGACCTCCAGGTGCTTGAGGAGCTCCAGGAACTTGGCCAACTCCCGACACACCACCACTTCCAATCTGCTGGTGCCCTCCAGGTAGCTGAAAACCTTGTGGAACTTGAGGAACGCCAGGTAGCTGAGGACCATGTGGACCACGTGGACCTCCCGAAACACCAGGTAGCTGAGGACCTTGTAGACCTCCCGAACCACCATGTAGCTGAGGACCTTGTAATTAGACCTCCCGAAACACCAGGTAGCTGAGGACCTTGTGGACCTCCCGAAACTCCATGTAGCTGAGGACCTTGAGGAACTTGAGGAACGCCAGCTCCCGAAAGACCACCTTGTGCTCGAGATGTCCCGTGAAGTGAGCTACCTCCTCCATGAGGTACTCCGTGAAGTGGATCATCCCCTGGCACCTGAGGACCTCCTGGAACTCGACCAACTCCCTGCTCGGCCTCGCCCCCAGACTGTCTCCCAAAACCAGCATTCATCAGCTCTTGTACCTGTCGTCGCAAAGCCACCACCTCGGTCTGCACCTGGTCTCGATCCCTCATGTACTGTCCCAGCTGACGTTGCACTTCAACCCGAATTTCTGACGATCCCGTAGACCCTTGCGACGTTTGTTCTCCATGAAGTAGAGGTCCACGAGAAGGCCAACTGTTCATTCTCTCCACCGCCCTCTGGTCGAACAACGCGGGGTGACCCCCACCTTCCACGTGCTGGGTCATCACCTGGAGCTCTTCCGGCGGGGAGAAATTCCAAGGCGATTGCCTGGCTGCCGACTGCGGTGTTGCTGCTACGGCTGCTGCTCTGCTGCTGTGGCTGCGGGGCGTTCCCGGGGCCTGATTGGGTGTTAGTCCTAAAGACCCTAACATCCTATCCCCTAAACCACCACCACCAGTCGTCGTCGCTCGCAGAAAGTCCGTCAGCCTTGTCATCCATCCATATGCGCCCGTTCCAGTCTGGACATACCTCATTTCCAGCCCAGTTGTACGCGACGCAGCTGTCGGCGAACCAGCATTTGCAGTGCCTTCCATGGCTGTCTGCACCATCTGCACTGCACCAAATCTTTCGGCTGCCAGTGCAGTCTCCAAGCCACCATTGCTGGACTCCAAAACCCTATGTTTCTCCACCACTGGCCAGTTGTCATTGACCTGCTCCATCTCCAGGCCACCAGTAACACCAGGGTCTCCACTGCCCAGCACACCACTATTTGTCTGCCCATCGGCAACAGCAGGTATACTCAGGTCTCCACCCTGAACCGGTCCCACAACAACTGCACCAGTCCCAATAGCACCAGCACCATCTGTACCAGCACCAACTGCACCAGTACCATCTGTACCAGCACCAACTGTCAAAGATCCGTAGTTCGGCCCAGCTGTCTCACCAACCAGCGTAGGGGAACTCAACAATCCAGCGGTAGCGCCCAGGCCGCTTGGGCTCATAACCTCAAGAGCGCGGGGCTCTTGAGGTCCAGCAAACGACATGGTAGCTTGGGGGTTGCTTGGCTCCTGTCTGTCTGTGTGGCTCTGCTTGTACTCCTTGTACGAACACAGCTGCACCACCAGAGGTTCACTTTTCCTCACACTGCAGCACGAAGTCCATTGGCCAGTCAGGCGGTCCTACCCCTACCACAGAAGGCGACCACACAACACACGGCCAGAACAGAACCCACAAAGCACATGCGACCTGTTGCCTGCATGTCTTGTGCTGCTTCGCTACTTGTGTTCCGATGCCTACGGCATGTCCTGGAACCACAACAGCCAAAGCCACAGGGTGCGTCTCATTCCACACCTTTCATCACAGGGTTTAGGGTTTAGGGTTTAGGGAAATATCTTCTGCTGTTGCTTACTGGTTCTGAGTAGGGAGTTAGGGAATGAGGGAATGAGGTACCCTGTATAGTCCCTTAAAAAGTATATAGTACTCTATTCCTGCGGGTCAGGGCACCCGAAATGATGCAGATCACCACCCCCCCCCCCTCCCTCAAGTTGTCAATTGTTGCGCAGCAGCTGCTGCTTGTATTTGGGAGCTTTCCTGTGTGCGACAGTGCTGGTTCCAGCACAACTTTATGAAGTTCCAGTATCTGCATCATGGAGGCATGCCATGCGACCGGCTTATATATGCGAGACACGTTGCAATCGTACGCAGACACCCGGGAATGGACCCTTTGTAACTTGGCAGCCGAAGCTGAAAACTCCCGATCCTAACGTTAGCCCGTATCCCCTTAAACCCTCACTTCTCAAGCCCGTCGACTCAAAAATCAAGAAGCCTTCCCAGCGCAGGCCCTCAAAGGCGCCCGCAGCTGCAGATGCCGGCTCATGTGAGATGACGAGTATCTCACAGCCATCTTAAGACGGAGTCATGAGGAGGATCCGCTTTTCTGCACGAGGAGTTCAGGGCCTAGTTGGGGCGCGTGTGCTATTTGAAAGCAGGGCGATATGATAACCTGTTTTTGGTGACGGCTCAGGAGATTCAAGTGCACGGAAGCATGACCATGCAGCCTCCAGGCTATAGAGATACTCTGGTCTCCAGTTGGGCCAGCATGGGGGGCTGGGGGCTGTTGAACAGTGGGACCCTGTATCCTCTGTATAAGTCATCCGAGAAAATAGTCCAGCCCTCGCAGTGCTTCTGACTTTTCAGGGCCATCCTAGACAGGATGGGTCCCGGCCACTTTGCGGCGAACGCCGCAGCTTGAAAAGGTTGCCCCCCTTCGCGCGTGCTTTGTGTAGCTCTGACCGAGAACCTGCCTGGAGCAACCGTGCAATATAGGTGTCGGAACAAGTACTAAGAATATTCCCTTAATTATGGTCCCTTTGGAATTATACTATAAAACCCCCCCAAAACCCTAGTGAAATTATTACGGCCCCTATGATACCTGAAAGCAGGGTGGTACGCATACCCCAGATTAACATACGGGATGCACTTTATGGGCTCGAAGTCGGGACTCTTATTCAAAGCAGAGCCACGAGTTCATCAGGAAGTCATCGAGGGCAGCCCTAAACTCAAAACCTACGGGGCGACTCCAGTCCCAAACTCTAAACCCTGAGCCCTAAGCCCTAAACCCCAAACCCCAAACTTTCGGGGCTCGGCTTTAGGGCTCGGAATAGCGTAGCCACTCTCAAAGGGCACCTGGGCCCACACTGCCAATCCTAACCAAGAACAGAACCCCGGTAAGTCTTTCATTCGACTCTGTACCTTGGGATGTTCCCCCTTAGACTAGAAGTCCTTAATGGGGAAATAATCGCTAGAAGTGTTAGTATAAAGGGGAACATCCCAATCTGCCCCAATTAGTATAAAGCTCAGGAAACTTTGGTTGCTTGACGAGTCTCCCAGGGTTTAGGGCTTACAGGGTTTTGGGTGGGTTGGGGTTTCGGACTTTCGGGTTTCATTCAGGGCTTAGGGGGGCTTTTGGCTTAGGGTAAATGTAGGGTTTGCAAGTCTGGTTACGGTGCTTATTGAGGCCCTTCACCCTTCTACAGCCTGGAACGGCTTAAGCTTAAACCCCACAATCCCCTCAAGCAGAATCCCGCTCCTACCCCCATCCCCCCCCCCAAAAAAAAAAAAAAAACACAACAACAAAAAGCTGTCATATTGAAGATAAGTCTCATACTTTTCGGCTAACAAAGTAGTAAGATAACTAATCAGAACGAAATGAACTCAGAAAACATACAGTATAGCAATCGTCAGATCGTAAAGCGGAAAGAGGTGCTCCAGCCGGGGCCAGGGGGTCTGATCCTCCGCGGCGTGCGCGGTGGCGGGATGCCAATCCACCAGGACGAGTTTGGGGCTAGTTGGGGATAGCTGGGTTCGGGTGCTTATATAAGGCTGTTTCGGGTTAGGGCTTAGGGTAATAAGGGTTAGGCCCTCGTGCAGGGTTCAGCTTATAGTTTTAGGGGCTTGGGATGCAAAATTGGAGCTGGAGGTCGGCTACGCTTGTAGGTTGTCGGGTTTTTGATGCCAGAACTTGGGCATCCGACGGTGGGGCGACCTAAACATAACGTATGCAGAACTGAAAGCCACGCTTCACGACAATCGCTTTCCTTGCATGCCTTAAATATCTGAACACACCCCCATTGCGCCTTTTCAAAGCTAACCTCTCAATCCTGCACCCTAAAATTCCGCAACGCCCTACATATTCGGACCTGTGACTGGCTGGAGCCATAGTGTTGGTGAATCAAGGACTTCTTTCTTAGGGCGTTGGGGAGTAGGGCTTATAGGGTCGCGAGGGTCGTGTAGGGCCCACCACCACCTCGAAGGTAACTGCTTCAAGTATCAGAATCGCTGTAGCCGTTGTCGCAGTTTGTGATGCACCACCACCCAAAACCCTAAACCCTAAACGCTAAACCCGTAGTGCAGGACCCCTTCAACTTTGGCAACCTATTCCTGGCCGTCACGATCCGATTTCCGGAGGCGCCGGGGGAGTTGGGGTGGATGGGTTGGGGCTTACAGGGCGAGGGGTTTAGGGCTTTAGGGCTTTAGGGCTTTAGGGCTCTAGGGCTCTAGGGCTCTAGGGCTCTAGGGCTCTAGGGCTCTAGGGCTTTAGGCTTTAGGGCTTTAGGGTTTTAGGGCTTTCGGGCTCTAGGGCTTTAGGGCTTTAGGGCTTAGGGGCTTAGGGGCTTAGGGTTTGGGCGGGCTTTAAACGTCCACCCGACCCTCATAAACGCAAGACTGCAGGGTTTAGGGGTTTGCAGCTTGCTGTGACGACGCCCACGATGCAAAGGGATGAAATGGATAAAAGGGTTCTCGGTCTTCTAAGATTTCTAAGGTCCGAAGATTCATTGGGATATAAGGCTTCTTTGGTGAGCCCTTATCGCTTCAAGCTCCTCCCTGCACCACAAGCCCTACAGTATGCGCCCAAACCCTCCTCGCAGCACTTGCGCGGAAGTTCTGTCCCATGACGGAAACCCTAAACCCTAAACCCTATAAACCCTGACCCCCGCAAACCAAGCCCGAGGAACTACCCAAGTCACACGAGGCGCTCTCCGAGGCCGCGGCCAAGCAGCTGCAGGCGCTCCTGGGCCACCAGGCGAGTACGCTCCGGGAGCGGAGACATGAGAGGATTCATCCCCAGTCCCGCTAAGAAATTTCGGGTTTGAGGCTTAAGGTGCCAGGTCTATAGGTATGCCTCAGTTTTGTTTGAGTGAATCTGAGCCCTAAACCCCTCCGAAACGCAGGTGTTGACTGAGGAGACTCTGTCTGATGAGGCCGGCGTTGTTTCGCGAGGGTTGAGTGGTTTGGTGTGAGTGGCTTGAGTGCTTCTGCGTCGCTTTCGCAAGCAACATGGATCTTTCGGCTGCACGATCAAGGTTGAAGTTATGTATGGGGACTTCGGTCGATGCTTCAGGTCCCCACGCCAGCGTCAGGATTTGTTTCGTGAGAGGTAGGCACTCCGTCTTTTTGAGGTGCTTCCCATTTGAGTAATTAGGAATTGACTCGCCGCGCTCCTTTTTCTCAGGGCCGTGTGCCTCCTCATGTAGGACGCTTAACAACCGAACCGTCGTACGATTTGGATCAGCATGAACTGCACTGCGCACATCCTCGCACTGCTCCTTTCCGCCGGCGCTTGCTGCGCCTTGTCCGCAGGCGTGCTTTGTGAAGACCTTGATGACACGCCCCTCAACGACATAAGCCTCCTCCAGACCGGCAAGGTGACCCTGCAGACCTCCCAGACCGGGATACACGCGGAAAGCACCCGGCAGTTTGGACAGGTTTCCTCGCCGGTAACCTTGGGCCCTCCGGTGGCCATCATCCTGGCCTGCATTGTGCTCAACTTCGTCCTGCGCAAGAGCGCGGACTCTGTCAAGGAGTACGCGCCTTACGCCGCCGAGTTCTTCGGCACCTTCGCGCTGGTCTTCACCGTCGGCTGCTGCGTCGCCACGGGCAGCGCCGTCTGGAATGCAACCGCCATCGCCTGCGTGCTTATGGTCATGGTCTATGCCACGGGGCCCATCTCCGGAGGCCACCTCAACCCGGCCGTCACCTTGACCCTCGCCTTTGCAGAGAAGTTCGACTGGGACCAGGCGGGGGCTTGTTCTTAGTCTTATCATTCGGGACTCTACAGGTGCTTCTAGCCGCCATTCTTTTGAAATCAGGCTGGTTATATATTATGCCCATGCGGAACACCCAAGAACCCATATATAGACGATTACAAATTGTAGAACCAACGCCCGCAGGTGCCCCTCTATTGCCTCACGCAGATCACCGCGGGCATCGCAGCGGGGAGCTGCACAGCCTCCCTGCTCAGTGCTCCTGACCCCCTGAAACCCGTGGGTGACTTCACCTGGTCCTATGCTTTCTTCGTGGAAGCCATCTACACCTTCATGCTCTGCTTCGTCGTCCTGAACACTGCGGCTTCAACCCGCAACAACGAGCCGAAGGACGGCAACCAGTTCTTCGGCCTGGCCATCGGCTTCGTGATCATCGCGGGTGGCTACGCCGGTGGGGATGTGTCCGGCGCGTGCTTCAATCCTGCTGTGGCCTTCGGGCTGGACTTCTCCAGCAGTGCCGGAATTGGCTGGAGCTTTGCCTGGGCTGCGTTTGAGGTCGTCGGCGCCTTCGTGGCTGCGCTGGCCTTCCGCCTGGTGGCCTGGCTGTTCTATTGCTGATGGTTGTTGCATTGAACCGATATCGAAATGCACCCTAAAATATTGTACCGTACCTTACGTAAACTCTATACTTGGTTAAGGTCGTTGGCTTCCATAGCGTGACCGGCCCAAGCCTTAAGCCTGCAAACCCCTAACACGTCTAAACTAAACCCGATTTATATTATGTTATATATACTATATACTATGTACTTTATATGCCTACTTTACTTGATATACAGATACAACACTGACGGAAGACATTTAGCACATAGCATGCCCGTCCAATGCCTGTTAAACGGTGATACGGGAGTTTCTACAGCGGCTTATGCCATGACACACATTTTATGTTGAAACTACTTGTGTTCTATCTCTCTCTGTATATACACACATATATGCATATATGTACATTGTAAACTACTTATGATATGTTATGCTCATATGATGCGATATATGTATGTATATATGTATATGTGTGTGAGTGAGTGAGCGAGTGAGTGAGTGAGTGAATGAGTGAGTGTGTGAGTGTGTACAGAGAGTTGCCCTGCTATGTTTTGCGTGTTTTTCGTTGTATATATATATATGCAGACATTGCATACTGTACATTCTTTACTGTTTGCTCTTGCCCGGTATCATATTCCTTGCATTTCCACCTGTCAGATATTATGCGCTGTATACTATAGAGCATGTACTCTATATTATGCTGTAGTCAGTACTGTATTTCTTCATGTTGTATTCCAGGCTCTACAATGGCCGCTAGATATTTGTGTTATGCATTGGTTGAAATATGCTATTCGTACATACGATTAAAACTCTGTAAAACCCTGACCGAACCCCGCGAACCCTACAACTACACAAGCAAGGTGCGCCCGGAAGACTACACCGAGTCGTCAGGGGACACATACGAACCAGCCCTTTATGTGAAGCTGGCCAGCGAGTTCCTTGGGGTGTTCATGCTGCTAGGCCCCGATGGGTATGAGCTTGTTGCTGTTTTTTTTCGAAGGTTCTTGGAAGGAATTTAGGTTGTCAGTTTCGGGTTTGCTAAATGATATGCCGAAGAGTCAAGAGCGCGGACAGTTTGGAATCATGGTGTTATCCTGACTCCAGCCAGGACGCTGCGAACCTAGTCGTACGAAAGGTACCATGATTCCCTGTTTGTATGTACACTCAAAGCGGAGCAAAGCTGCTTGAAACATCAAAGTACGCCAAGACAGCGTCCAACCGTCGTAAGAACAAGCGCTGCTGCGAGGCCTAGTAACTGTTCACAGTTCGCATATCTTCGCAAAGGTCCCCAAAGACCATGAAGCCCTAAATTTCAGGCTCCCCAAAGACCATGACGCCCCCTAAATTTCAGGCTGGTGCTCACTGTGGGCCTGAACGTGGTCCTGGGATCTCCCTCCACGGCCTGGTCGGCTGCTGCAGCCCTGATGTGCATGATCTACTCCCTGGGTTGCTGGCCTTCACTTCATTGTTATTGGTACTATGGTTACGATGGGTCTTACCAGTACTATTCTTACTATAAAGAATACAGAAGGGTGAGTGACTGTACGGATATTGCGATTATTTCGAATGCTGCGGAAACGGATTCATATTAGCGTTATTCCTCCTGCGATTCCGAGCTTACTATGATATTTTCTTGTTATTTCCAGTATACTATCGTTACCGCGCCGCCCCGGCAGCCAGGCCGGCCCCAACGCGGGGTGTAGCGTACGCGTCGCAGACGAAGGAAAGCCAAAGTCATATGTCGCTTGGTGCAGTGCCACAAGCAATGAGTTCTGGAGGGTGGGAGGGCTTCAGGAAATTTAGGGGTCCCAGGAAGGTACCAGGGAAGTCAGGGGGGTCCCAGGGTTTTGAGGCAAAGTCCAAGGGCATGTCCCACAGGAAGTTAAGATTGCCACGGTTATGATCTCTGCTTGAACAGTTACTATTGCGGCGAGTTCGAGTTTTACGATTATTGCTGTTGTATCCTTATGACTTTCTTGCTATTTCTACTATTCTCACTATTCAAGCTTTTCCATTATTATTACATCATTATTCGTCTTGCTATGAAATGTGACAATCATGGCAGTTTTGACCGTTATAGCCCATGTTGCAACCATGACGATTATGACTTCGTTTACGATTGCTACGCTGTTCTTGCTATCACTATCATCATCATTGTGACTCCTTACTCTTACACCGATTTTTTGTTACCACTATTGCCCTGAGGACTTCTGCCTCTTGAATACTATGACACCTTGCATCATGATTGTTTGTTATCTTGTTCTTATCATCGAGACATAAAAGCTTTGGGCTCAAGTTCAAGGTTTACTTCCTGTTGTGAATTCATCTGGCCTACTCGATTTTTTCCGGATCAGGGGCCCTAAATTGAGCAGGTTAAGGCTTTTGGGTCGCCAAACGGGCACACAGGAGACGTCTCCGGCGCGCACTTCAACCCTGCCGTGTCCGTGGCTGTGTGCGTCCGAGGCAAGTGCAGCGTGCAGGACTTGCGTCTCTGAACCCTGAACCTCAAGGTTTCTTGTTTGCGTCTTGTGTAACAGGAAACCCTATACACCCGAACATGCCCGCAAAAGCGCCGTGCGCAGGACCTGCTGGCCTACATCCCTGTGCAGCTCCTGGCCGGAGCTTCAGCGGGTGCCATCGTCAGCCTCTTCCACCCACACAGCACCGGGAAGAATGTGGCCCATTTCCTCCAGCCGGGCTCAGATCACACCTTGGCCCAGGCAGGGGTCGCCGAGCTGATCTTCACCTTCGTGCTCTGCTACGTGGTGTTGACCACCGCCACCATTGAAAAACCGGAGTCTCAGAAAACGATGCTGGACCTGAATGTTTGGCAGCTGCTTTTAAATTTGTGACCAAACACAGAAGCTGCGCCGCAGTCTAATCAGGAAGCGTCTGCAAAAAGCTTAGGAAGCAAAACTTCTACTTTGGCTTGGCCATTGGCTCCTGCGTCACTGCCGGGGGCGTTGCCTCAGGCGCGATCTCTGGCGGAGAGCTGAACCCGGCCGTGAGTACCGGCCTGGCCGTGGCCAGCTCCATCTTCTCGCCCTCGGGGACCACAATCGCGCTGGGTTCGACTCTTTGGCTTGTTTTTTGGGTGTTCTGAGGCTTGGGGGTGGAAGGGAGACGAGGCGCAAGTCAAGCGCCCCACTAGCGGCTCAGAACTGGCAACTCGTGTGTGCAGCAACCCCTTCATGGATGCACCCGTGAAGATCCGATTCTTCGACTCACGTGAGAACCCTCCAAACCCTGCCCGAAATTTGATTCACAAAGGCCCCCCTTCTACGCGAGAAGAGACCCCCTCCACCGCGCAACAAACCAAACACAAAAAGTCACAGCCCGGACTTCTGAGTTCCGAGGACTGTGGGCAACCTGCTTCGCTTCAGCGGCTACGAGCTCGCTGGGGGCTTGATGGCTGCACTCGTGTTCCAGGTGACCCACCCCAAGGCCATCGGCCGTCCCAGGGTGTTTGTTTCAGAGAATATTTTACCAGCTTGCCGAAATAAAAGCTAAGGTCCGGGGACCCTAATCTTCTGAAACCCTGAACCCCTTTCCCCCCCAAGCCCTCACTCGCCCAGGTCTGCCTCTGTCATGTCTGAATACACATCTAGGCATGCCAATATGTTGTTGTTCGTGTAAATCGACGATAGCGTGTTCAAGGAAGAAATATTCTCTCACTCTCACAGACACATACTATGTATATATCTATATATTTGTATATATCTATATATGCATATATACGCGAGCTCGTTTCGTCACCTTCCCCGACACCAGGAGCTGGGCAAGGCAGGCATGTGGATTTCGTGCTTTGTTGCGGAGTTCCTGGGCACCTTCGTGCTGGTCTTCACCGTGGTTTGCAACGTGCTGGCTGGCGATGACAACTGGTCCCCCACATCCATTGCTTGCTCGCTGATGGTGATGATTTATGCCACCGGGGGGGTGTCAGGAGGCCACCTGAACCCAGCTGTGACCTTTGCCGTCACGCTCGTCACCAACGACTGGTCCGGCAAGTTCCTGGGTTGCTGTTCAGTGCGTAAAAATGTTGGAAACCATTCTCTTCACGATGTGCGCATCAACCTTAAGACCCTGAACAGCAGCCCAGGTTCCTGGGCTACTGGCTTTCACAGATAGTTGGCGGCATTGCTGCCGGCTTTGCGGCGTGCAGCTTGCACACCACCGTGGCCAACATCGAGCCGAAGGCTCCCTACCAGACATCACACGCCTTGATGGCCGAGCTTATCTACACCTTCATGCTTTCCTTTACCGTCCTCAGCGTGGCCGTGTCCAAGCGGAACAACTCCAGCAAAGATGGCAACAACTTCTACGCCCTCGCCATCGCCTGGACCATTGTCGCGGGCGGCTACGCTGTCGGGGGTGTCTCTGGGGCGGCCTTCAACCCGGCCGTGGCCATCGGCCTGGACATCTCCAGCTACACAGTGGCTCGGTTCGGGGCCTTGCGGCTTTGGGTTTCTAGGGTGTCGAGTTTGTACTCGTAGGTTGCTGGCGTCAGCTCCGATACTCCCAGAGCCAACAGTATCCCCTGATCCTCCCCTATGTAACGATACTGGAAACTACGCGAAACTACGCGTTCCAAGCAAATACGCTCCAAAATTGAGCCATAAGCTGGCCAAAGCTCATGATCCCCTCTTTTTGGCCATTCGGGGGTTCCGAAATCAGTGGGGTACCTTATTGGGGCCCTTATTCCAAGGGAATCCTACTATGTGTGGGGGTCGATTCTAGGGGTCCCCTATTTTCGAAAACCGGGAATGGGGTGTTATGCCAAACGACAGTCCTCTTACAGGTACTTAGGGGCACCTAATAGAGCCACCTCTCAGGAATGGACCCGCTGATTCAGGAACAGCTCCCACATGTCTATTCTAGACTGCTAACCTGCGAAACCCTGTACCCCTAAACCCTGAACCCTACACCCTTTTCTGAACCCTCAACCCTCAACTCTGTAATGCACCCTAAACCTTCTAAACCCTCTAAACCGCAAGCCAGGTAGGCGTCGGCATGGGCTTCCTCTGGGCCCTCTTCGAGCTCTTGGGGGCTGGGGTGGCGGCCGCCATCTTCAGGCTTCCCCCCCTGATTCTTAGTAGGGCTTAGGGTTTAGGGTTTAGAATTCTTAGTAGGGTTTAGGGCTTTAGGGTTTAGAATTCTTAGTAGGGTTTAGGGCTTCAGGGTTTAGGGCTTTAGGGTTTAGAATTCAGGCTTAAGGCTTAAGGCCTGTTTAGGGTTCAGAGCCCGAAGCGCGAAGCTCTTGCCTTATACTCCTTGAAGGGATTATACAGGGTACCTCATTCCCTCATTCCCTAAACCCTAAACCCTAAATCCTAAACCCTAAACCCTAAACCCTAAACCAGCCAGGCTCCTGCGCCAGGAGGAGGCCCTGGAGGGCTCGGCGCTGGAAAGCTACCAGCCATCGATCCCAGACCTTTCAAAGAGACTGTTTTGCCTTTTTGGGGGGTGTGTGGGGGTGAAGAGGGGTTAGGGTTTAGGGTTTAGGTTGTGGGGGGTTGTGAACTTAGGGTGCAAGATGAAGAATGGCGAGAGTCTACTGTGTAGCACTTCACCGCACGAAGCTCTCTAGCACAGTGGGAAGAAGCGTGAAGAAGCCCCCTGGCCCGCAAAAGACCGAATCCATCCACCAAAGAATTCCCCCCCAAGGATCCTCGTGAAGCTGCTGAGCGAGTTCCTGGGCGTCTTCATGCTCGTGCTGACTGTCGGCTTAAACCTTGAGCCCTGGCTGCACTTGGAGATACCCCTGAAGGCCCTATAGGCCCCCAATCCCTGTAATATAGGGGTCGGAATAATTACTTAACATATTCCCTTATGGCCCCTTTGTAATTATCCTGCAATAACCCCCAAAACCCCCTAAGGGGGGGCGCAGCTCAGGCCAACGACTCCCCCGCCACGGCTTGGTCGGCCGCGGCAGCGTTGATGTGCATGATCTACTGCCTGGGCGACCGAGCCTGACTTAACTAAATCCCCCTTGGGTTTTTTTTTTACATTTTTGTTTATATAAACCCGAGAGGATATTAAAAATATTATTTTTATTTTCAGGTTCTAAGTGGAGTATAGTTAAGGGCGTGCATCTTTGTCGGGCTTATGTCTTACATAGACATAGTCCCTCTGTTTGGGGTTGGGCAGTCGTATAATTAAACCCCAATTCGACAAACATGACCCCCAAAGCCCTGAATAGTCCATCCCAAACGCTCAAACCCTGAAGCACCCTCAATCCCAAACCCCTAAACCTCTAGAAGCCCTAAATCCTGAGGCACCCTCAGCACTATAAGGGGATTAACGATAACAAGGCACCCGAATATAGACCCCCAAATAGTAGGATCCCCTTATACTTAGGACCCCAATAAGGTACCCCGAATATCGTAAACCCCCATAAAGCACCACCAAGACCCTGCACGCCCCTGAGCCCTTGAGGCGACATCTCGGGGGCGCATCTCAACCCGGCAGTCACCATGGCCGTGGTTTCCAGCGGCCGGAATTTGTGCTCGAGGCTGCAGGGCGTCGCCTACGTGGCAACGCAGTTCCTTGGGCCTGTGTGGTTTGCCCACCTAAGCCCTAAGCAAGCCCGAATAGAGCCATGAGAGGAAGCCCTAGACACCCTAACTCCTCTTCGACTCCAACAGCTTCCCAGGTACCTCGCCGGCGCCGCCGCCGGCCTTGTCTACTCCGTCTTCCATGCAGCGGGGCCCAAGGCCGATTCCTACATCGGCCTGGTGCCAGGGAAAGGCTACACCCTCGCACAGGCCAGGCTTGGGGAGTTTGGAGTTGTATTGGGTTAAGATATAGGGCTTCAGGGCTTGGGGTTACCAGGTTTGGGAGTTAGGGGGGTTAGGGCTAGGTATAGGGCTTTCCCTATAAGCATCCCTAAGCCCTGAACTCTGAACCCTATCATAAACTTCATTTAACTTAACAGAAGCTTTGGGTCCCGAATAGAATGCCCCCCTTTTGAGATTTTTGTTAACACGATGGCTATAGGAGAGAGTTGCGCGCGCGATGGCCCGGTTCAGATCACTTCGAGGACTGTAAAATTTCGCTCGAGAGGTCGAGCGAATGTTTCTCGACGATTGTCTCTCTCAACCTAGGACCCAGGGCAGGCCCTCATTCCCTTTCTGAAGGGCTAAGGGCTCCCTTAGAAACCCATTTAAACCAAGAAGGGTGCCCTTTTTATCCCTTTATTCTTGGGTCTGGTAAGTTGGTAGCTATAGTGCCTCCCTACTCCCAATCCTCGCTCGTTTCTGGCAGGCAGGCCTTGCCGAGTTGGCTGCCACAATGCTCCTGGCCTACGTCGTGCCCTGGGCGATTTAATTCTGGAGGCCTTATATCAACCCTAAACCCTAAACCCTTATATAGGCCCTGAACCCGAATCCCAAGGGTTAGTGGTACTTCTGGTTTATGAAGCCCTCAACCCTCTTAACCCTGGGGTTAAGGGCCTATGGGACTTTGGGCTTCTGGCGTTTACGAGGCACGAGGTCCTGAGGATTGATAGGATGCGGAGCGCACCTCGAAGCTCCTCCCCACCCCAACCTTTAGAAGGATTTCGGGTTTAGGGTTTAGGGATGTTTAGGGATATTTAGGGATTAGTGGTCTAAACCCTAAACCCTAAGCCCTAGACCCATACCCAGAAGAAGCCAAGCAGGTACTGAGCTGTGCCACCGTGGCCCCGGCGGGTGGCAACACCAAGACCAAGAACAGCTCCTTGACATGCTTGGGGTCTCCCTTAATACCCCCCCCCCCCCTCCCAGAAAAACAACAACATACTCCCAGACGTCTGACCCATTTATTCACTCTAGACATGATTGAACCTTACGAGGTCCGTGATGGTAGATCCAGAAACCTCTCGTGCTTTTGGTACTTTAGATGCTCTTGCGCGGCTCTTCCATGTGGCGATTTTGGCTTAATATTATAAGGCTTCTACTTCGCCCTGGCCATCGGATCCTGCGTGACGGTGGGCGGCTTCGCCATCGGCGCCGTGTCCGGGGGCGAGCTGAACCCAGCGGTTGCTTTGGGCATCTCGACGGCCAGCAACATGCACCACCCCGAGGGCAGGGAGAGCGACTCCTTCTCCAACATGGTGCGGCTCGGTGTCTTCGAGATCTCCGCCGGCCTCGCCGCCGCAGCTGCCTTCAAGGCCACTGGGTCGTTGTTGAACATGATTGTACATGTTTATATATCGTATACTTAAACCCAATAAGGAGCCCAAAAAAAGTCGATCATGTTTAAATAGTACCCCAACAATGGTGCAGGCCAGCCATAGCCACATCTATGCCGAAGAGGCGGCGGAGTCTACCAAGTGACGTTGAGCATCCTTGAGCCGCTCCTCTGGCCCAGGGGGCCGCAAGGTCGGTCATCCCTGACTTTGCGCGCGTTTCCCGGCGCGAGACCGAAGTTTACACCCGCTAGCTTCGGGGCCTGGTTTGGTTTTAAACTTGGGCCTCGAAATTCAGTGACGAAGGGCGGCAGCTTAGATTAAAGAAGTGGATGTGAGCGGCGAGCTCAATTTTGTGGAAAAAAAGCACCGGCCGGGAAGCTGTGCGTCAACACATCGCGTAATATGCTGATATATACTTATACGTTTTTTTTAGGGTTTAGGTTCCCTTGCAACAAATCCCTTCCTTCTATTCCTAGGTTCCTCTCCTGTCTAGAAAGCTATCCATGAATAAGCTGTTGAAAAACAGAACTGTGCATATATGCTGCTTATATGTATATATATATATATATATGTATATAGATGTACATATATATATATATATATATTCATGTATTTATTTATTTATTTGTATTTATTTATATTTATTTGTTACTACGCAAGTTGGTATTGATTGCCAGGCGGACATCGAGGAGGTGGTCGCCGAGGACCTGGACCCGATCGAGTCCGCCAAGCAGTCGCGGAAAACCGCCACGCAGGCCTGCCTCAGGGTTCAGGGTTTAGGGCTTAGGGTTCAGGGTTTAGGGTTTAGGGCTTTGTGTTTAGGGTTTAGGGTTCAGGGTTCAGGGTTTAGGGTTTAGGGCTTTGGGTTCAGGGTTTAGGGTTCAGGGTTCAGGGCTTAGGGTTTAGGGCTTAGGGTTCAGGGTTTAGGGTTTAGGGCTTATAAGGTTCAGGGTTCAGGGTTTTGGGTTTTGGGTTTAGGGTTCAGGGTTTAGGGTTTAGGGTTCAGGGTTTGGGGCTTAGGGGTCATGGTTTAGGGCTTGTAAGGTTCAGGCTTCAGGGTTTAGGGTTCAGGGGGTTTCGGGTTTAGGGTTTAGGGTTCAGGGTTTGGGGTTCCTGCAGGTCCGCGCACCCTTGCTTTTAGGGCCTTGCGAGTTTAATGCTTCGGGCCTGCCATTCTGGGGTTCCAGCTGGTAGTTTATTAGGGGCTTATAGCTCATCGACTCATGCTCTGTGGTTTAGGGTTTAGGGATTTATTGGGTTTTTGGGCTTGCAGGTAACCGTTAATCTTTGTAAGGCCTCTCTCAAGCAAGCACCATATTCCACTGCCCCCGCACTGTCCGGGCGAACCACAATCCCCTGCTTATCGAACGGGTATCGCATTTGGGTTAGCGACTGCGCCTGCCACTTCTTGAATTTGTTTCTCCCCGCAGAAAGAGGTACATAGCCTGAGTACAGGTTGAGGGCCTCGACGTAGGCTTCGAGGATACCCAGGAGGTTACTTCATTAGGTCCTGAAGCAGGAAGCTCCTTGGAATCATTCGTTTGTCTATCTATGGGAGAGTTGTTGAACAAAGCAGTCCTAGCGCCTATCTGAGAAAGAAACCTTATGCTTCAAACCCCAAAACCATACAGAAGAGGGGTATGGGACCTCGTCCAGGCGTATGACGAGGATGAGGATGCGTGCTGCACTCAGATGGCTTGGGCTCGCTGCCTCACTGAGGGCCGCCCCCCCTCTTCCTCCCGTTTAGGAAGTTGAAGTTGAAGCTGCCGAGGTCCAAGGCATTGGAAACCTGAGATCTAGGGTTTAGGGTTCAAGAGTTTTATGCGGGAAGCAGAACTGCGACAAAGGGGCAGATGGCGTACGACTTATAAGGAGAGCGTCATCTCGCAACTTAGGTGCGCGATGATATTGGGCTAAAGACTGAATCTGCAAAGTGCTAGCTGATAGCCTTGATCGTAAGATGTCCCCCTGCGTGGATGCCTTCACCCCACCCTGCTTTCGTGACTGCATGCCCAAGCTGAAGGCATCCTCATGGCATCGAGTGCAAGCACCAATGATGCGCTGGCACCGTGTCTATGTCACTGTTCACCAAAACGCCCAACATATCCAAGCAAACTCGACCCTCCTATGTAGGCCCCTGCGCAAGTTCTTGCCCAAGCTCATAAGCCCCATACATGTGAAAATTCTGGGCGCAGGGCTTCTACCGAGCTTTATTTGCAAGGGTCGATCATGTGTGGGACCTTCGGCTCTAAGAGGGCTTGGGCCTTGGTGTGTTTGGGGTTTGGGGTTCATTGTAGGGGTGAGTGAAAGTTTTTGGGGGAAGTTTGAAGAGGATTCCGACATTAGGACATAAGAGGCCAGAGGGCTCGGGGCTTGGGGTACCTGTCTGTGCTGCTCTGTACAAAACTTGGCTGTCTCCACCTCGTCACTGCCCTCATTACTCTGATCTTCAACTCTTCACTCATGTGGCCACATGCTGTCACATGAGCCCGACTAGGTCACCGTAGCATAGAATGGATTGAAGCGGGCTGAGTGAAAACCGGAGACAGCCCGCCCCCGCAGCGCCCAGATGAATGAGATCGGGCTGGAACGCAGCACCTCTTGTTGCATCGCTTTGTAGAAACCAAGCGCCGGTTTGTTCGTGTCTGACGGTGCGCTTGGGCGCAAATAAAGAGAATTGCAATGGATTAACACAGTAATGTTGACTTCGCATTAATAACCCCCCCCCCCCCCCCCTTCATTGATCAATCTCTCCGGCCAGGGCCTCCTCAATAATGTTCGCCTAAATCCTGGTAGGTCTAGCTGTCCCGGTGCCATCACAGTGGGCTAAGTGAGCCTCTACTGCGAGCCTCTGGGGATCACTTTTAGAAAAATATTCCGGGTCGGATTTTACAATTGTGGCGGGTTACAATATTGTGTTCCGGCAGCTGGATTTTACAATTGCGGCGGGAATCATTAATGTGAAGTCAACATTAACAGAATCAGGTCTGATATAACGGATTCATAATATGGCAAGCTTACCGGCCTGCTCGCCTGCCTGCCCTGCTAGAACCCGTCGTCGCCGAAGCCATCTTCACCGCTGATCAGAGGCTGGATTCTGCCCTGTCTGCATAGCTATCCTTGGGGAGGTGAAGGTTTATCTTCTTTCAATGAGAGTCCTGAACCCTATACACCTGGGACCGTAAAGCGCAACTTTGAACCAGATAAGATCCGCAGCGCTACCACCACCAGCCGCAGCAGCAGCAACAACCACCACCACCACCACCACCACCACCACCACCACCACCACCACCACCACCACCACCACCACCACCACCACCACCACCACCACCACCAGAACCAGAACCAGAACCAGAACCAGAACCAGAACCAGAACCAGAACCAGAACCAGAACCAGAACCAGAACCAGAACCAGAACCAGAACCAGAACCAGAACCAGAACCAGAACCAGAACCAGAACCAGAACCAGAACCAGAACAACAACCAGAACCAGAACCAGAACCAGAACCAGAACCAGAACAACAACCAGAACCAGAACCAGAACCAGAACCAGAACCAGAACCAGAACCAGAACAACAACAACAACAACAACAACAACAACAACAACAACAACAACAACAACAACAACAACAACAACAACAACAACAACAACAACAACAACAACACCAACAGCAACAACAACAACACCAACAACAGCAGCAACAGCAACAGCAACAGCAACAGCAACAGCAACAGCAACAGCAACAGCAACAGCAACAGCAACAGCAACAGCAACAGCAACAGCAACCACAGCGACAACGACAACGACGACGACGACGACGACGACGACGACGACGACGACGACGACGACGACGACGACGACGACGACGACCACGACCACGACCACGATCACGATCACGACCACGACCACGACCACGACCACGACCACGACAACGATAATGACAACAACAACAACAACAACAACAACAACAACAACAACAACAACAACAACAACAACAACAACAACAACAACAACTGCCACAACCACTGCCACAACCACTGCCACAACCACTGCCACAACCACTGCCACAACCACCGCCACAACCACCGCCACAACCACCGCCACAACCCCGCCACAACAGCCGCCACAACAGCCGCCACAACAACCGCCACAACAACCACCACCACCACAACAACCACCACCACCACCACAACAACCACCACAACCACAACAACCACCACAACCACCACCACAACGACCATCACAACGACCACGACGACCACGTCGACCACGTTGCCCACGACGACCACGACGACGACCACCGCCACAACGACACCGACAACGACAACGACGACCGACAGCGACAACCGCAACGACGACGACGACGACGACGACGACAACGACAACGACAACAACAACGACGACGACCGACAACGACCAACAGTGACCAAGAGCGACTAACAACGACCAACAGCGAGCAACAGCAAGCCACAGCAGGCCTACAGGAGGCCCGCAGCAAGCCACAGCAAGCGACAACTGGCGACAACGAGCGACGACAAGCCACAACAAGCAACAACAAGCAACAACAAGCAACATCAAACAAAAGCAAACAACAACCACCACCACAACCCTCGAGACATCCTGAAGACAAGCCCAAAACAACTAAAGAAAAGAGACCCTAGTCAGCCCAAAAGACCTGCGTAATGCTAAGCCTTACAGAACCTAAAAGTCGATAATGCACAAAATCTAAGGCAACTCCTACAACACCAACCCTAAATCCCTAAATCCCTCAAACCCTCAAACCCTGAATCCTAAAAGCCTAAGCCCTAAAACCCTAAAACCCTAAAACTCTAAACCCTAAACCATCTAAGCCTTTGGTACGCCAGGGGATCCTCTGAGTCCCGCGGCTCGGGCCGAGGCACCCCGAGCGCCGAGTTGGGGGTTCAGGGTTTATAGGGTTTAGGGTTTAGGGCTTAGGGTTTAGGGTTTAGGGTGTAGTTCTGATGTTATGTTTCGATAGTTCCTGTTTGGGAAGTTGCTTTTGTGCCTATGAACGATTGTTGCTGTGCCAGCCTTTCCAAAAAATAACAGAAGGCTTCGCGTCAGAGTAGGAAGCAGATCATCACATCTCGGCCTGCAGTACCCCGCCTCGTGCAAAATCCCAA